TAAAAAGTGTTAAGCTAACCCGGCTTGCTGAAAAAGAAAGGTCTTAAGGGCACGGAGGAAGGCACTGAGGTCTTGGATTCTTCGTATCTCTGGGGGCAGCTGATTCCAGAGGGCAGGTGCCCCCACAGAAAAGGCCCTCCCCCTGGGGGCCACGAGTCTACATTGCTTGGCCGATGACACCCTGAGGAGGCCCTCTCGGTGGGAGCGCACAGGTTGGTGGGAGGCCATTGGTAGCAGCAGGCGGTCTTGAAGATATCCAGGTCCTATGCCATGGAGTGCTTTAAAGGTGATAACCAACACCTTGAAGCGCACCCGGAAGACCACTGGAAGATGTTTATGTGCATCTGAATATGTTATGTCTTCCTGTAGCATTCTAATGCATTTAGTTGCTCTTGGTCAAATATGGGGTGTGAACTTGTATCACAATCTTGTAGACATATGTTCTGAAGTTGTGCTTCCTAGTCCGACAGGCTGAAATCTGTGAAATACTTGGGAAATATTTATTTACGAGATGTTTGTATCAGCCACCAGTTCAGACCCTTTTGATTTACACTTGGGAATTCCATAGACAATGTGATTATATATGAGGGAGAAGAAAATTTTAGGTACTGTGAATAAAAGTTAAATCCGTGGCATGGAGTCTGTGATTTATGGCTGTAAACATCATCCCTAGGATGTGTGTCACTTTCAGAGTATTAGGAACACTGTCTTTAGGATTTCTTTGATACCAATCTAAAACTTAGGCATTTGTTATTTTGGCAGGAAAAAAAAGCCTTTACATCTCAATATCGTTCATAATCCCTGCTTTTTAGTATTCATTTGAATGGAGAGATTGAACCCATGGTCCAATTCACTGTGAGAATGTGATCGTGAAAGTGTCGCATTGTTTCTGGTGTAGTATATAATTCTCTGAACTTTGATCAAATGGTTGTCCAGGTGGCATGCATGTACATCAATGCTCCTGGATCAGTTCACTAGTTAGAAGCATCACTTTGGGGCAGTGAAGCCAAGATCAAAGAGAAAAGCCATGAAACTGGTGTTATAGGCCACCTTAGAAATCTTAAGTGTACTGTTGAGGTAGGAAAACGAAGGCAAGGACTCCTCATGCAATGTATTATCTGACAAATTAGTCTCACCAATTAATTTCAGGGTCTCCATCTTGGATCTTTATTGTTTAATTAACTTGTTTTCACTTTGAGCTTCAACACTGTCCTTCACTTCTTATTCTTCTTGACTATGAAGAACAAACTAGATAATTCTTCTAAGAAATATTCTGATATGCCTTGCTTATGATGGTATCTAAGTAGTACCTGCTGACTTGGAAAATTATGCAATTATCTATTTCTACATCTAGAAATGGATTGAAGGAATCTGTTCCTTGGAATAATTCCAGGGCAAGTCCTAGCTGAACTGTTTCTAGTAAGCTCCAACTGGTGGAGCTGGTCTCTTAGTGTTACCAGAATCTTTGAGCAGTACAGAAATTGTGTCTAATTAGCTGTAGAGTTAGGAGCCAATGGGGACCATTTCATTTCCTGACTAAAAGAAAAATGACATAAGTTCTCATTTGTAGAAGTCAAGACGTGATCATTCTTTCCTAATTTTCAATCAGATTCTCTGCTAGCAATTCTCAGAATTATCTTCTTGCTAGGAAAAAGCTTGGATGCTAGATTGGCTCTAGAATGGTGATCCACTTCCCAGTGCTTAAACATACTTCTGCAAATGATGCCAAGAATGAATAGTTCCCCAAATGATGGTATGAAAGAGTCAGCCACGAACGCTGAAAACTTTGCTAGTTTATTCAGATATGCTGTGTTCAGTGATACCTCAGCCAAGGACAGAGTATAAATGGCTTAACTATTACTGAGTTAGCTGCTGTGGCACTCATTCTCACAGCAATTACCTTGTGTAGCAGAAGACAGCTATAACTCCACAGAGCTACTTCCTGATACTGTTTACATTATTTTCTATTTAGGATCTGGAGACGATCTAGAAAAACTAGAAAATTTCCAGAGATAATTACAGAGCAGTGGCCAAAAGTCACAGTATTACAATCATAAGAGTTTGTATAGAAATAGGTAATCTTCCATCCTTTCTTTCATGGATGGAAACTAATAACATACAGTTATGATTTGCCAGAATGGTCAATGTGATGAAAGGTAATTTAAGGGTTCTGATTAAATTTGGTCAGATTAAGCAGAATTTATTATCATTTATAGCCTTCTAAATGGCAATACTTTGGTAGAAATTCCCTATCTCCCGAGTTTGCCTCCATTAATTGAAATAGTAGAATCAATAAAAGAAATCCACGTAACTTCTTCGGCAAGCCCTATTTTACAAGAACAACGAATTACTCTACTTGCTTATCCCATTATCTAAATCTTAATAATTATTATAGTACTTTCTATGCATACCAAAACCATGTTCTTTTCTGTGTCAAAGTGAGTAGGGTAGGACATTAAGCAACAAAGTCATTGGTTGTCGCATTTTTGTTTTAGCTGAT